GTACGAATTCTGTGCATAAAATAAACATTTTCTTTAACAAAATACTTAATCGGAAAGTATATACCCGGTATTTCCGGTGTATCTACCACATATAAAATGATCATTTTGCTTTAGTTTAAATTTTTTCCATTACCAAAATCATGTAGCAGACGCTTCGGCCGATGCGTCTTGTCTCCCGGGTGACGTCACTACCAGCAACCAATGGCACGCTTTTTCCGTTCCTGGCCTAACCTCAGTATATTAAAGAACCTTGGCTGGAGACACCCTAGCAGACGAATTCTCTGTGGGTGAGCCGTCTGTTATATGAAGTCGTTGGAATAAACGACTTTTGACTGTACCACTTTTACAGCACCCCAAAGTTGTTTAAAATCTGAATTATAAATAAAGTCCTCATAAAAAAGGTGAAGCTTAGTTTAAAAAAAAGTGTCTTTCCAAGCACCCTTACTTTTGAATAACAATTCTTGAAGCTACACTTTTGATTTTTCTGCAACTGGATAATCCATTCACTTTCATACAGTATATGCTGTAAACTCTCTATCCTTGTCTCAAATAAAAATTCATTAGACATAGGATCTCGTAAAAAAGGTATTTGACTAAATTATACTTCAATGGACTACACTGAACTATTTTTGACGCAAGCTTGGCCAAAAAGGTTCTGCACCGAGTTCTAAATTCTCTTTTCTTTATATCAGATACTCCAATTTTAGCTAAACTTGGACCAGTAGCAAATACCTACATCTATTTTCTGCAACATCTCAATATATGGTTTGATTCAGAATATCTATTTTTTATAAGTTTTTGCCTCTCGCAGCAAATCTCTTTTGACAAATTCTGAAAAAAGCTGATTTAGCATACTATGGAAAGTTGTGTATAAAAAAGGGCACATAGGATCAGCTGTGTGAAATGATTTTAGAAATGGAAGTAGAACTCCCGCAACAGGAAAAAAAAAAAAAAAAAAAAAAAAAAGAGAGATTTTTGCCAAAAAGAAGCTTACATTTAACAGCTTTTTTCAGTCTTTCAACTAAAACAGTCTTTGGCAGTTCAGATGATTCTATATACTTTTTCACATAAGGAAAAATATCAATAGGCAGGCAGGAGACAGACACACTAATTGAGTAATTGAAGAGTTAGGTTTGGAGGCAACTTCTCCTTGATAAGTCTGTCTCCTGCCTGCTCAACGATTATTCACTTATGCAATTTAATTTCGGCTTAAAAATGAATTCCTTTAATTTTTTTTTTAATTTTTAGATTAATTTTTTGGAATATTATATATATTGTTTCATAGTTTTAGATACGTGCACTTAATTTACATATGCCCTTAGAATTTAAATGATATTGTAAATTAGTTTTCAGCAATAATTAATTTTACTTTTATTTTTACAATTAAAAATTTAATTAAATTTAAAATTTATATTAACTTTATAATGAATAGAGAATATTTGTTAAATTCAAATTTACATATATATATATATATGAGGGAGTCGGAGTCTTTAAAATTCCAGGAGTCGGACATTTTCCCTACCGACTCCACAGCCCTGCTATTTAATAGTGCAACCAACTCATTTCTTATTCACAGTTTCTTTACGGCTTTTCTATGTTTGTTTATTCAGATCTGGGTTAACAGATAGTATAAACTGTCCTTATTTCAGTAAAATATAGAAGCATGTCTTGCACTATTTTTCATGCTCTTTTCAAAGCTCAAAGATATCTGTAGTTCAACTCTCAATTCCATGAGACCAACTGCTTGACCTTTTGCTAGCCATACATCCCCCAATCCGATCCAGAAAGAATCTCGTAGAGAGTATGTTGTTTGTTGCCAAAAAAAAAACTGAAACTAGCAAAAAAATTCATAAAGAAATGCGAATTTGGGTAAAGATTGCAAGGTAGGACTTTGCTTAACCCTTGTTCCAGAGTTCATCACACTAAACTTCCTTTCTAATAAATGTTTTATAAGTATTTCACATACTTTCATTGGTACATACGTTTTACCTTTGTATTTCATACAATAAATCATAATTTAACCAAGATTAATTTTCAAAATTTTGCCTTTATATGATTATTCTTCAATTTAAATTTTTCAACAACCTTTTTTTATGATATAATTCCGTATTGAAAACAAATTTTTGTATGTTTTAACTCTAATATATGAAGATTTTGATAAAAAAAAATTATGTTGCAAGGGATAATGGAAAAACATAAAAAATGCTTTAGGAAATTAATTCTCTTTTTAACAACTCTCATAAATTTTATAACATACTGTAAGATTTTTGTATGGTCAAAGAAACTGAAAGCACTAGAGAAGTTTTTCATTTACATAAATCTTTAAATTAACCAACATTTTCCTTTGCAAAATAACTCATTATAGTATAATTTAAAACCTAACACACAACAAACAAACCTTTATTTTCTAACTGCTGAATTTTATGCCAGCCTATTACAAAACCACCTAATCACAGCAAGGCAAGTACAAATTTATATTCAGTCTACACCATTTCGCTGCTGCACATTAACCTTCACTAATTATTTATAATTGATCTGAGGCTTGAGTAGCAGAGACTACAATAACAGGCAAGAAATAAAGTTACAGAGAAGTAGAAATGATGATATTTTATTAGATACTGTAATATTAATATTACAATGCATTCTAATTAGAATTTTTCTTTTATAGAAATAGTATAGTAAAAGTTGCCTGTAGTTTAACCATGACTACTTTCATTTGTTATATTCTTATCATAACCACGTACTTCAGAAATTAAATTATTTACATAATTTTTCTCTCTCAATTTTCGGATGATAACATTAATGAAAACAGGGGAAAAATACAGAGGAAAAATAGGGTATATTAATGTATTTTACTCAAAATGTTATATAAAAAAGACATATTTTTATTCTAGTTTTCATTAGATAGTAAACTACATTAAATTGTTAACACGTATAACAGCTTTATCAGATAATTATCGATAGTAACATTAACATATAAACTGGCAGCTGATTATAAAATTTTAAACTTTTGCTTTAGTAAAAAGGGCGATTTCTAATGGCAGATTACATTCACTAGTTTAACCGAATATTCATCTAAGCAAAAATTTTAGAAAAGCAATAGAGATTATTCCATCTTTAATAAAATAATATTGAGAATCAAAACAAAAAGACTTACCGGTTGATCTTTACAATATGGTAACTGGTAGTTTGGCGACATTTTGGAGGCGATAAAGGTTACTACCTGGGACTTTGGTAATAATGTGAGCAGCACTCAGTTCCGATTACGCATTATTTTGCGTGAGGGAAATGAGAGATCATGGGATATGTCATGTGATATTAATGGACGAATTACGGTTCTTTAATCGGAAAAGGGGGCAAATCGGGAAAAAATGTGGAAATTTTGTATTTAGCTTTATTCTGTATTGTGTGAAACAGTGTTGTTTAATTTTTGGATCCCATGGCCCTAACTAAAGTGAATTCGAAATGGGTATTTAGGCATTGTGATAAAGAGAAGTTTGCTTTTTATTTAGCGGAGGAAAAATTCGCAGAAAAAATCTTTCAATAATTTTATTGAATGAATTAGAAAAGTATGTCCGCCACGTAATCAAGATTCTGAAGATTAGGTTAGTTAGTATTTTTAATTATTTGAGGATATTTTTATGCATTGTTCTAAATGTAAGGTGGAAAGGAATTTGGTATTATTGGGAAAATTGTTATTAGCAATGATTTAGTTTAAAGTAATTAGGATTGTAAGTAATTTTTATTAATTTAATGTATGTGCTCATTATATTTTAAGTAGTGTTTTGAATTTAATTATATTTTAATGAAATGATAGTTATTTTGTGAATTTTATGTTTGTAGGAATTTGGTATACGTTTTAGTTGAAATAAACGTGCATGAAAATAATTTAAATATTTGATACTAAGTATTTGTAATGCTTGCGGTATGAATTCGTTGGTGACGTGTATAATGTAATAGATGATTTAGAGGTAAAAGTTTTTGGATATTTTATTTATTTTATATGTGGAAATGTTCATATTTGTAAAGGGTAAATACTTTTTCGCGATCAGGTAATTTCATATATGTTCTTTTTACCGGGTTTAAAGATTGAGAAAATTGTCATGTATTTTCGTGAAATTTTTCTAATTTATGAGAAAAAAGCAGTGTACATGGATATAGTGAAGAGTGTGCACAATGCCATTTCTGTGCAATTCTGAGATGTTTTTTTTAAGTAAAAATAAGTCGACGTGTACATGGTTTAGTGATATTTTAATTAAATGATAGTTATTTTGTGAATTTTATGTTTGTAGGAATTTGGTATAAGCTTTAAGTTGAATAAACGTGCATGGAAATAATTTAAATATTTGATACTAAGTATTTTGTAATGCTTGCGGTATGAATTCGTTGGTGACGTGTATAATGTAATAGATGATTTAGAGGTAAAAGTTTTTGGATATTTTATTTATTTTATACGTGGAAATGTTCATATTTGTAAAGGGTAAATACTTTTTCGCGATCAGGTAATTTCATATATGTTCTTTTTAACGGGTTTAAAAGATTGAGAAAATTGTCATGTATTTTTGTGAAATTTTTGTAATTTATGAGAAAAAAGCAGTGTACATGGATATAGTGAAGAGTGTGCGCAATGCCATTTTTGTGCAATTCTGGGATGTTTTTTTAAGTAAAAATAAGTCGGCGTGTACATGGTTTTATGTGTATGTGTTATTTTGAAAAACGCGTAAGGAGTATGGTATTGTGCACTTTTTCCCAATTTTGCAGTGAATATTTGTCATGATTAAGCAGTTTTGTTTGATAAATTTCTAGCATAAGTGTAATTCGGCTAGTAGATTGTTGGAAGAAGTGTTCAGTAGATAAAAAGACAAGAAACATGTCTTTACTTCGTGAAGACAAAATGGCGGCGGGGAAAAAAAAATAGAGGGTTGCTGTAGGAGAGTTGGTTGCCAAATTTTCGCCAAAAAATCGCCAAGTTACCATAATGTAAAGATCAGCCGACTTACCTTCCATGCACTCATTCACCGATTCAAAATCTGAATAAGTCCTGGTTTCTGGTTTACCAGGCTGAACTAAAAGAATTGTATGCGACTGAGAAAAAAAAAAAAAAAAAAACATTAATTACTTTTAAGTTTAAAAAAATAGGGTGCAAAGAGCAATATTAAATAATGTTAAAAAGTCAACATAAAAAGTATATCTACAAAATACATTAACACACCATGTTTAAAATATATACAGATTAAATCAATGACAAAACTCGTTCAGATTCTTATAAATGCTGTAACAGAGAGTCAATATAATAAAAGAATTTTAAAATAACAGCACTTAACGGGAAATTAATGCAATAAATTACAATCCAAAATACACAACCATTCGCTTTGATGTGGTTTCAACAAGTGTTGCCAGATTTTTGAATACTAAGTTTTATACAACTGGAACATTAATTTGGTAAAAATTTTATTTAAATAATAACAACAATAATAAAGAATGAATACTTTATTGTAAAAAATATGCGCCATTTTCACTAGAAAGGTATTATGTTTTTTTTAAAAAAAAGACAATTATTTGTCACATTCTAGGTGGCCGATCAACCAACTCGTGTTTTTTATCTCACTAAAGGGCGAATTAGGCACCTTGCATAAAAACAAAAACCAAAAAAAAAAGGGGGGAAGGATGGTTAAGGGAGTTAGAATAACTGGCGGCTAAAATCAAAGCCAACAAAATTCAAAATATTAATTGTAAAAATTAATCTCACTTGACTTTTGTATTTGAAATAAAAAGCTGCGTGCGACATAAATCAAACAGTCGCCTGCGTCTACCGTAGGAACTAAGGCTACTATAAAAAATGTCTCTAGAAGGAACGATCGCTTTCGATTGTGATGTCACAAATCTGTAGATCAGGCCTATTTTGTGTCAAAATACCTATATTAGAACAATGCTATATATAAATCTAAAGGTCCGTCTACACGTAGCGATTTTCTCGGCCGACCAAGGGCCCTAGCCAACAATATCTGAGATAGCTCGCCTGTCCACACGGAACGATTTTCTCGTTAGTACAGGAATTCACTCAGGTAATCACTGTGAAAGGAATTGTTCCCGCCCTCTCCAGCGTCACACTGTCTATGATTTGTAAACAAAGCTTACGGTGTTGTCAAATAGTCTAAATAATGGATGACTATTTTAAATTGCTACTATAGATACAGTTACAATTTTGAACTTAGCTATTGCTACAAAAGAAGAAGGAAAAAAAAAAAAAAAAAAAAAAAAAAGAAAATGCGTTTGGACCAGAAATTGGGTCAAACGACGAGGAATTCATGGTGCCTTCGTAATACCCTGTTCCGGGAGTTGCGTATTGAAGACACGGTGGAATTCGGAAAGTATTTACGGATGATGTCGCGTGATTTTGATTTTTTGCTAAATTTAGTTTGCAGTAAAATTTAAAAAAAAAAATATGCTTTTCTTTTGGGTACTGAGTGCACAGATTACTCCTTTTTTTATTTATTTTTAAAATTCATTTTCTGGCACTCCTGTTTGTGCACTTAAATCTGGAAATAATAAAATAACCATGTTTCAGAAAAAATAAATAACTACTGTGCTTTAAATCAAAACCTTTATTAATGAATAAATAGACAATAATGTCACAAATATCAAACCAGTATGAGTAAAAAGTAGTAATAAAGAATAAAGATTACTACATTACAAAGGCACAGTGTAATTTCAGGGCAAAAATTTAAAATAAGAAATATCATAAAGGTGCAAAGTCTTAAACGGTATATTTATTGAACATTCAAAAACTAATATCAGCATAATTAAATAACTAATACAGTCTGAAAACTATGATCACATGACTCTATCAGTTAATCAGCTAATAAAATTTAGCAATTTTGTATTGAATTAGGCTGTAATTTATTTTCGCAAAACTCAATTAACACAAAACTGAGTTACAAACTCAGTTTTGTGTTAATTGAGTTTTGACCATTAGATCTAAAACACGTGCCAACGGCCATTCGAAAAATAAAAAGAAAGGCGCTAAAAATCAATAAACACCACACCCGTAAACGAAAAAATAAAAAGTGACTTTTAAGTCATGCAGCTCGAATTTAGTAATAGAGAAGAGAAATTAAAAGGTTCTTGCAGGTGCAGAAAAAGTCCAAGAGGGAGAGGATCGAACCCACGATCTCGATGTATGGAGAAACCTGCTCTACTCTTTACCACTCGGCTATGATGTCATGTCAAAGGTATCGGAAAAGCTATGTACTTAGTCGCCTGATTAACTCTCATTTTCGGCGAAGTCAATGAGTTTCTGCGCTGCTTTTAATCGGCCCGTAATTTCTCGACTGAAGATTTTGCTTTCTGAATTTTTTCAATAAATGCGACCACAGTTTCAAGTAGTTTCTGAATATTTTCATCTAGTACCCATAACATGGTTTCATTAATAGTTTTGGAACTTTTCTTGGGGGAGTTAGAAGATTTCACCCGATAGAAAATTTGAATATATAAAGTATGGGAAGACAGTTCCAAAAAGAGAATCCTTATTTTTATTTTTAATACATTACCGTGTCCAGAACACATTTTCTCTTAGTTGAAATTTTTGTTCGCTTAAAAATCGACGATCCGATCCGAACAAGTATGGCTGGAGTAGCTTGCTAAGCGCGCTAGATTTCCAGCTCATGAGGAGACCCAGAAGGCACATGACGGTAGGAAGTCTGACGTGGTAGGAGTTAAGAGAATGAGGTGAGGCAGAAGGGAGGCGAGCAAGATGCCGCAAGCCTAGGAATTAGGCCAGACAAGAAGACGCGCCGCAGACGGAGCTGTGCAAGGTAAAGCAATAATGAGTTTTTAAGATAAGATACTGTGAAAGTATACTACATGACAGAACGAGTTTGTAAGAATACAAACTCTCAAAGGCATACATTTGCAAATATAGAGTTACAGTGACAAAAATGCAGTTTGGAAGATCAGAAATCATATAGAAGTTTCGATGAAATAATAAGAAAAGTATTCATAAAAGCTATATACAATATGTGCAACTATATATACAGGAATGTTCTACTTTATGTAGGAAAGTTCAGATCTCTGGCTAGGTGGGCTGCCAGCGGTCGTAACTCTTTATCTTTTATCTTCCGGTAGTGGAATGTAGTCAAATACATGTAATTTTGTCATGTGAGGGCATGTAACTGCTTTCTGGAAAAAGCTGGAGTTTAAGCGATGAAGATGCTCTATGACAGTTTCAATTTTCAAATCCTTGTGTAAAGTCCTATTAGATACAAAATAATGCGCATTCGTGAAGGTGCGCAGCAACTTGTTCTGTGTAATTTGTAATTTAGATATGTCCCTGTCTCTAACTGATGCCCACGCAGGGGAAGCATACGTGAAGATTGGCCGTATAACAGAGATGTATAAGTGCCGTTTTCTTCTTAAGTCCAGTTTAGAGTGCTCGTTAATAAGTGGGTTAAGACTCTGAATGACTCCTAGTGTTTTTCCCCTGACATGAGTCAGGTGATCCTTCCAGGAAAATTTATCATTAATAATAACGCCAAGGTAATTCGCCTTGCGTACTCTAGGAACTTCTGTGTCAAATAGCTTAAGCTTTTCTGTGATTTCAGTGGCAGAGTTCTTCTTTCGGATAATGAGCAGGCTTTGGATTTATCTGCGTTAATTGAAATACGCCATTTGGTACACCAAAATTCTATTTGCGGCATGACTTGTTGAAGTTTCCTGACAGCTTGATTAGGACACATAGATTTTACAGCAAGCGCCGTATCATCTGCATAACAGCCAATGAAGTAATTGTAGTTAAAGCCTGTTTTAGGGAAGTCAGTCACAAAGAAAAGATATAAGATCGGACCTAAAATTGACCCTTGCGGGACGCCGGCGTGAATTCTTTTGACTTCAGAAATCTCATTTCCAATAGAAACATGAAAACTTCTGCCTTTCAGGAATGAGTAGATGAGACACGTTAAAGTTTTGGTGAAGCCAAGGGAACGGAGCTTGAAAATTAGACCCTCATGCCAGACGCGGTCAAAGCTTTGGCCACGTCTAGCATGAGTAAAAGCCACATTTTGTCTGTTATGTAATGCACTGCCGATGAACTCAGAAAGTCTGACCAATTGTTTCGTGGTGGAAAGCGTTTTTCGGAAACCAAACTGTTCTTCTGGTAGTTTCTCTAAGTATGGATGGATTCTATGATAAATGATGCGTTCAAAAATTTTCCCCAAAACGGGAAGCAAACTGAATAGGTCTAAATCCTTCTGGGCGAGTGGTAACCTTGCCGGCTTTAGGTAAGACAATCATTTTGGCTCTTTTCCAGGCAAGCGGAAAGTATCTGATAGTTAAGCAAGCATTTAAAATACTGGCATATCCTTGCAATACAATTTTTCGGTAAGTTCTTGATCGCTAGGTTGGTTATTGCATCATAGCCCGGTGCCTTCCTGTTTTTTTTTTAGTTTTCCTTATGATTTCTTGGATTTCATGTGGAGAGGTGAGTTCCAGATTGTCTTCTAAGTCCTCCTGTGAGGTAAACCAGTCATTAATGCAGTATCTTACATCATAAGCGAAGTCTATGTCACAAGGACTCTCATTCGGTTTAAACTGATTTTCAAAATGTTCTGCAAAGGCGTTTGCTTTTTCTTTATTAGTGAGAGCCACGCTAATTATTGAAGTGAAGTGGTTTGTTCGCTACAGCCTTTCCTTTTAGATTTCTGACAAATGACCAGAACGCATTGTCTGGTTCATTAAAATTCATGATTTTCTCGTCCCAAAGGTCATTTCTGAGCTGAAGAATTGATTGCTTGATGTCACGATTCAGTCTATTAATTTCCGTTTTAGTACTCGGGTTCCATGTTCGATTCCAGGCTTTCCTTAATCTATTTCTTTCTCTGATTTTATCTTTGATGTGGGGGGGGGGAAGTCTTCCAGATGTCTGTTTAATGGGAATGTTCTTGGTGGCAGTATTGACTGCATTAATGATACTGTTAGTAAACAGGTGCACAGCTAAGTCTATGTCCTGCTTGGTTCTTAAAGCTGTGTTCAGGAAGGTACTATTACTTAAGATCAGATTATACTGCTTCCAGTCTGTAATCTTTTTCTCCTGCGTCATTTTGTCTTTTAGGATTCCAAGTGTGGCCATTACAGGTAAATGATCCGAGCTTAGATCATTAACAACTTCAAGATATACTGGAATTGAAGCGGAGGTAAGTAGTAGATCAAGAATGTCCCCTCTGTTCGGGTCGTGTGCAAGATAAGTGTATTCCTCAGGCGCAAAGAGATAAACATTTTCGTTGTTTATAAATTCAAAGAGTTGTTCTCCATTTGGGTTTGTTTTACGACAGTTCCATTCCTCATGTTTCGCATTAAAATCACCT